CCAGTAGGTCTTCAAGGAAATGCAATATGACAGTATCAAATACATGACATAAAAACTTACATCATGGGCATGGAGTTTGATATTAATCTCGTGAAAACATAAAAAAGACATATTCCTTCGTCTAACGACGTCTAGGTTGGTGATTTACCAGGAACTCGCTGTGCAATCCACCCTAAACCATCGTATAAACCGTCACCAGTCAAGGCACTGCAGGCTTGAATATGCCAATCATGGTTCTTGATGCTATGAAGGGAAAGCGCATCGGTTATCTCTGCAGGGGTCATGGCATCTTTAAGGTCCTGTTTGTTCGCAAAGACTAGTAGAACCGCACTTTGCAGATCCTCGTGTGGGAGCAACCTGAACAACTCGTCCTTCATAATGGAAATCCGGGCTCTGTCAGTACTATCGATAACTACGATAACAGCATGAGTTCCGCGATAGTAAGTTGCCCATGATGTCCTCAGTCTTTCTTGCCCACCTAGATCCCAGACCTGAAAAAATAGCAGAAAATAGAAAGAAAGGAGTAAGATAAACAGTACACCAAAATAAACAGAATTGTTCTCATCCATTTCCCCAGATATAAAAGAAGGCAAAAAACAGCATGGAAATTAACTTGCTGTCTTTCGTCAATACACTCAGCCAATGGAGAAAACACAAGGAAAAAGTAGGAGGATAATAGTAACTTTTATTATGAGTACATATCAGAGCACAAATAAGCAGATAATGCCAACGATGGTTTAAAACATTCTTGTGCTAGTTGAAAGGGAAAAGAAACACGATCAAGGGACGAACTCGGATGGTATCACAAATTTTCTCATTCCACCACCAAGATTCTTGAGGACAAGGTCCTACACCTTTAGACATACCTAACACTTTGCTACTCTTTTAATGCAACCTGACATTTCATTCCATAGGATGTTTCCGTCCCCTTCTATGTCCCACACTCCCTCCTCCCCTAGTTTTTCTTGAAAATTTTTCTCTTCAAATGAGTGTGTTTTCACAACGTCAGCTAGATACTTCAATTTGTTCATAAAAGAATTCCCTGCCTTCAAGAGGATGAAAGTGTTTTTTTTTTTTAAAACTCACCCTCAGAACAATTATTTCTCATCATTGTCCACTGATAGCCAAGATACAATCGATCATAAGAATTCCTAGCCAAGTGCACAACAAAGGAAAATACTCCTTATTGTCTGGTCGGAGTATAGCGCACAATTGGAGCTGACTAGAGCAAGACTTCAAATTACTCAATGCAACAAATTACTCAATGCAACAAACCCATGTGCACTAGATATAAACCTATCTCAAGCGTCAGGTAGAAGCAAAAGCGTGTCATGCATCCTAAAATCAATCAGAGATTTCTCGCTTCAAGCAAACAAATATCCTCTGTTATTCTGGTTATTCAGAGGTTCAACAGAAGTATTTTCTTGGCTCTAGCATTACTAGTTCTGAGCAAAAAAAAACAGTTTTATTCAATGATGGGGCTGCAACACGGTATATCATGTTGAAGTACAATGGTACTGGTCCAATATGATACCTATTTTGTGACCTTCAAAGGTTGCCAGAGATGCTCAAGTTAATAGCTGATAAGGTTGAGAGATACACATGTACCTAGAACATCTTCGCAACTCCTCCTTTGATTATAGTTGTCAAGTCAACATAAGATATTCAATTAGGCAAAAGAAGTAATTTGGTCAGAAAATAAGTTAGTAGGTTTTGGGCTGTTGGGGTTTTATTTTCACAATTATTAAAAGTCAACATAATTATTTCATAGAGAGTTACAAATTCCAGTACTCCATGCCCAAAAGCTACCCTTACCTACTCTTAGAAAGAGAACTTTTTTTTTATTACGTGCCCTTCTTTGACAATAAGTTCCTTTAATTGTTTAAGCAAAAGAGTGATTCCACAATTAGAGGTTATGGATCAACAAATCTAACCCTTTTGACTAAAAGATACAAGAGTGACAACAAGTACGATGGGATGAACTTCCACAAAGAGTTGGGGAAAGGAAATAAAGCACTGTGCACAAAGCTGGAAAAAATGGGAGCTATAATTGGTACCACATTAATAATCCAAACTGCAATTGAGAATCTTATCACGTAAAACCACACTGTCGAGGTGTCAATTGGTTTAAGGAGAACATCATTGTGAGGAAAAAGAATAACTAAGATGATTCCACGCGTTTTCATCATGAATATGAAATTGCACATTAGAAGCCTACTCCATCTGTTTATTTCATATACTGTGTCGGACAGCAAAATGATTACATAGCAAGACAGGGGAGCAGGAGGACCACAAGTCACAGAAGATTGAATTACCCAATCTAAGATTTTTAATACAGACAGTTCCTTAGACTCATCCAATCACCGAAATAACTGATGTCAAAGGATGGTGACAATATTATACTCTATGCAGATTGACGCGGGTCCCTTTTCGATTTTAACTGTTGCTCCATTACACGATTACGTAAAGGTATAATATATAGTGTGGAACATGTTTGGAACTGAATGGGTGATGCCACAAGTCATCACACAGATGGCCGCTAGAATGGAAGTTGAGAAGGAGGAGGTAGAACTTAGAAGGAGAGCATGAGAATTTACGGGATGAAGAGAAATAGAGGAGTATTTATGGTGTGTTTGGTATGACCAAAATCATTTTTTAGAATAATGTTTTCCACATGAGGAAGTCATTTTTGGTATTTGGACCATCACGAGAGGGAAATAACTACCCTCAATTATGCAGAATTTCATTCTGCTTACGAATATCTTAACTTTAAACTACTTATTACTTGCTCCAAGTAGCACGTATCTACCATTATTAATCTTTAATACTCAAAAATTCATCAAAACACTCTCTGATTTACAAATATTTTTTATTTTTATTTTTATTTTCACCGGGTGTCCGAGTCTCTTCGAGCCCCGACTAATCTCGGGGGTGCACAAGCCCTCGGCAAGGAGTTTCCCGCAAGTCTGATGGCCCTCGGAAATTGTTTGCACCCAGTGGGTTTCGAACTTGAGACCTTGAAAGGGAGCCTCTCTGATTTACTAATATTATTATTAACGTGCCTTGGTGCTGATGATATATGTACCAATTATATACATATATTTGCCAAAAAAATATTTCCTACTCACCATCCAAGACTAGAAAAAACATTTTTCTACGGACAACATTTTCCATGGAAAGCTACTTCCGGCATATCAAACACTTTAAAGGAATTGAAAACACTCATGTACATAAAGATGGAACTTTTCAATTTTTTGGAGCACTCACAATTTTCCAGTCAGCATAGATTATCAGACTCTTCGTAATCATGTATTTCTTGTGGTGTTCCCTATTTTCTTATACATATCATATGTGGCTTTATCCCCCATCGCATCAATGAATCCTCTTCAGTTAAGATTAACCCTTTTGAGTTTGACCATATAATCTACTTCCGTCCTCACCCTTCTTCTATTCCTGCTTCTTCTCCCTCCTCCACCTAGATTCTACTAAATTTTAACCCACAACTTTCTCCATCATTTCATCAATCAGTTAGACTTTGACATGTAATACTTTTCCTCACGATTTCAGCCGGAACCTGCCTCAAATTTCTAATCTACACGTACTAAATTTTGAGTTGGTTAACCTCTATATTACCTACATCTTTCCTCTCCTCCACCATTTAATGAGGTTAAGTAATATCTCAATTTATAGGGGGGATAAAAGGAAGAATAGGTGCCTCTTGACTTCCANCCCCCAAACCCAAAAAAAATGCACAAGGCCACATAAAACCAATGTGTACCAAAACCACTTGTTCATTTAAACAATCAACAATAAAGGATAGCCTCCTCAAAAATACAAACTTCAATTGTTATTCTCTGTATACCGACTTGTACAGAATCATATCCTCACTCAAAGTATAATTTCAAATATAAGAACAACATCAACCAATGTTAGACAGATGGAAAACATCAAACCAATCATTAGGTACCAGATCAAATTGCGCCCAGGCTGGACACCACTGTCATAAAAATGATTCCTTATCTTTTTAACATATGTTAGGATTAGAACCCTAGTTTTCCATGGGCTTCAATCCAACTATATTGAACCACGAGATCACACCAGCACATCAAAACAATTATCCAATGAAATAATCAAGGCTCGTGCAAGCTAACCGGGACACCACCCTTAAACAAAAATAATGATTCTCCACAAATACTCTCCCTTCCCATTTTATGTGATAGTTTTGATTGCGCACGTTGTTTAAGAAAAAAGATAGAATTTTGAAACTTTCCATCTAAAACACGTCATAAACATTAGTATGGCCATAAATTATCTAGACTAAAATGAGAAGTTTAAAGTAAATTATTTCAAATTTTTTAAGACATACACACACAGAGAGAGATTAGAACAATTTCAAACTATAACTTCACGCCTAATCTTAATTCAAAAATATTAAATAATCCAATTCACGGTATAAATCTATCTCAGTTAAGGGTGAAATAAGAAGAACATATAGAAAGGTATCTCTTTTATGGACTGACTAAAGGGCAGCCTGGTGCACTAAGCTCCGGCAGTCGGGGAAGGCCCGGACCACAAGGGTCTATTCTGGACAGACTAAAAAGGAAAATATGTCATATAAATTAGGATAGAGGGATTAGAACAATTTCATACTAAACTTTCACGCCTAAGCTTGATACAAAATGGTTCAAACAATCCAACTACAACCAAGAAAAAATCAAGTAAATTAAGTGTTTCAGATGTAGAATTTGTACCTCAAATCGTATGTTCTTATAAACAAGCTCCTCAACATTACTACCAACAGTAGGATTTGTAGTAACCACCTCTCCTAAATGCAACTTGTAAAGCGTCGTCGTTTTACCAGCGTTATCCAATCCAACTACAACGATCTTATACTCTTTTGCTGGAAACATCATGAACCAGAATCTCGATATGAAACCTCCCATAATTTATAGATCTGATCCAAAAAATGGATTAAAAATCCAGATCCTGATTATCAGAATTAGAGTCGAAGATCAGTAATTTGATCGGTGAGGAAATAAAGTTGAATAATTGATTTTTGATCCGAGAACTGCCTTTTTGACGAAGGAATGGGAATTTTAGAGATAAAAATATATTCAAAGGAAAGAAAGGAGAAGGAGATGAGACTGGACGATTATTTTATATCTAAATATATTTCTTTTAAATATATTTAACTAGCCAATATAATAATTATTGGTAAATAATGAAGCTCTATCAATGTATTAGATCTAATCTTTAAGGGGTTGTTTGGCATGGTGTATAAAAATAGTACCGAATAAAGTATATTAATAATGATGAAATTAGTTACGGTGAGATTATTTCTTGTCGGCTTAGTTTGATATATAAAGGTGTATTAATTAATACATATATTGGTTATACATATGTTAAAAAATATTACCAAATAATAAATTAATAATAATACCAAAACTAAGTAATACATATCTTATTATTCCTAATTACATCCTACAAACGACCCCTAAGTGTTCTGATTGGTGCCGTAGTAAATGGACCAAAAGTGCTTGATTTTAGTAAACTTAATGACAGTTTTTGTCCAGTGTGATAGAAAAAGGACAAAGATAGAGTAACCCTCAAACTTAAGGGACTATTCAAGTTTCATTTCTTAGCAGCTGCATCGCTATCTCCGCCATCGTCCTCTTCAAATTATTCGTACACTCTGTTTCTCTCATTTTCGCTCTTTCCCTTTGGCACGAATTCTATCAAATACACCGCCGTTAATAACCGCCGGCCGCCGGCGAATCAAAGCTATTCCTACTCGCTATAATTTTCTGAAAATTTTCCGGTAGAAAAATGTCGCACGTTTTGAACTTTTTGGTTTCTTCCTCGTCCTGCTCGCCTACGACCTTCGCAACCTCAAAACGACCTGCATTTCCTCTCTCCACCGTCCGTTCACGGTTACCGGTTAAAACATTTCTACGTACAAAAATCATAGCAGCTTCAGCTTCAGAGAACGCTTCGGGAGTGGTACGATCAAGTGCGACGCAGGTGCATGATACTTACAATGCGGTCGCGGATTTTGAGGTGGATGCGGTGACTGAGGCTGAGTTGAAGCAGAACGGTTTCAGGAGTACGCGAAGGACGAAGCTGATATGTACGATCGGTCCAGCGACGTGCGCGATTGAGCAGTTGGAGGCGTTGGCTGTGGGAGGAATGAACGTTGCGCGGATCAATATGTGTCATGGAACTCGGGAGTGGCATCGTATGGTGATCGAGAGAGTTAGGAGGTTGAATGAAGAGAAAGGCTTCGCGGTCGCCATCATGATGGATACTGAAGGCAGTGAGATTCATATGGGAGATCTCGGTGGCGCTTCATCGGCTAAAGCTGAGGTAATGTTCACTTTGAATTAACACTGTTAGATGTATTCATCTGCTGCTGCTTCATCAATAGCGTTAAGTGTTTATGGGTTAAATGTTTAAATACTTTTACCTCTTTCATTAAGGTGCCTGAATGTAAAACTAATAGTATAATTATTTTCTTAGAGCCCATTTGGCTTAGCTAAGTAAAAATAACTGAAGAACCATGCTCCGCATTTCTCTTTGTCGCGCTACTTTTGCTAGCAACCAGCTTCGGATTCTCCTTAAGGCACCGTGTTGAGTAGGATTTGAATAGTAACTCTATTTTGGGGCTCAATGTTGCTGGATTTACTCCTCTCCTCGGGCTCGCCCGCTCTATGCCCAATGCTTTAACTCAATCACATGAGGTCTTTCGTCAAATCACAGCGGAGACAAAAAATGGTGATTTCATTCCATCGGCCTAAGCCTTGGTGATTATAGGTACTCGATAGCACCTCTCGATACCTGTGCTGGTGGGAGGTAGCATACTTGGTAGAATAGTCAACGTGTTCGCAAGCTGGCCTGCCATCATAAAAAATAGTTATTAAAATAACTAATGCCCTAAAATGGTCAAGTTTCTTATTAGAGAAAACTACNGAGTAAATGGCAATCCAATACTCTTCGAGAGGCAAGGGTCAGCACGAACAATGGCGATATCACTATTTTGGAACCTACTGGAGGAGAGGACACAGGCCTACTAAAAAAATGCATTATCGGGTCTTTAGGGAAAGAAATCAATGAGAGACCCACTTTAGCATATATAAGGCGATGGGCTAGTGCTTCATGGAACAAAGCATACGGAGTAAACATATATGAAATGACAGGAAACATGTTTCTTTTTGAATTTCCAAACAGATTCATGGCAGAGCAGATTGTGCAAGGAGAATGGAGATGGAAAAAATTCAAGCTTCATCTGGATTGGTGAAATCATACAGCCGGTTGCATTCCAAACTCACAAATTGAGGAAACATACTGGATTAGAGCCATGGGGATTCCTTTACATCTATGGTCACAAAAGATCTTCAAAGAAATAGGAGATCTCTGTGGGGGTTGAGCTACAGAAGAAGAAACTGATCTCAAAAACCATCTTAAGTGGGCGATAATCAAAATTGTTGGTGATGGCAGAAAGACTCCCAATGAGGTGGGGATTGAAAAAAACGGTACCAAATTCTTCATCCCAATCTGGGCTGAAAGAAAGACACGGTATGAGCTAAACACTG